TCCTCGTATCTCTCTCTCTCTCTCTCTCTCTCTCTCTCTCTCTAATCCATGGTCCTGACTCTTGCAGTTATGTGTGGTTTTTTTAGATATACTGATTTGCCATGGCTAGCATGACCCTCCCTACCACCTGTGCCATGACCAATATCCCATCTTCACGGAACACCTCTGGTCTTCACATCAAAGCTCCCTCTTCTTTGGGCACAATACGGAACATCTCAAGGGCCTTTGGGTTAAAGAAGTCCTCTGTCTTCAGGGTCCAAGCAATGGCCACTTACAAGGTCAAGCTTATTGGCCCCGATGGGGTCGAGCACGATTTTGAAGCACCTGATGATTCCTATATTTTGGACTCAGCTGAGGTTGCAGGGGTTGAGCTCCCTTACTCTTGCAGGGCTGGTGCTTGCTCCACTTGTGCAGGCAAGATTGTGGAGGGAACAGTTGATCAATCCGATGGGTCCTTTCTTGATGATGAGCAGCTCGGCAAGGGTTATGTGCTCACTTGCGTCTCGTACCCCATTTCAGATTGTGTGATTGACACCCACAAGGAAGGTGAACTCTACTAACTTCAGATTGTGTGATCCACACCCACAAGGAAGGTGAACTCTACTAAGAGGATGCACTCTCTCTCTCTCTCTCTCTCTCTCCCAGCTTTTTTTAAGTGAATATCTCCTGAGAACTGTCTTTGCACGCTTAGAGCTGGGAGAATGTGAACTTGGGATTATTTTTGTTCAGAAGACTTGAAATTAACTGTTAGTGTTTGGTTTTGGGTTATCAAATGATTGGAAACTTGGTTAAAAGACCTGATGAGGGTGAAATTTCAGAAATGTTTGTCTTCATTGGTACTCTTGTTGGTCCTCTGGTTTTCTTGCTCTGCATATTTGACTTTGGCCTTTCATTGTTTTCACAAGAGTGCAGTTGTTAGGCTACTAAAAGTGCTTTGTGGAAGCAATAGCATAATTGGCATCCATTGAAGCCCTATGATACAAATATGTAGAGCAAAGGGTATGCATTGGTGAAAAATGTATTGAAGCATTATGAAATATTGAAGAGCGAAATTTGTGGAGAGCAGTGTATTAGAAGGTTAAAAATGTTTGAAAGTTAGGTACATGGTACAAAAACCCTACTTTGCTGGGGTCATCACTCTTGGAAAGTGAGCGACCTACCTAATTGGTAATGAAACTATTAGACTGCTTTTCGATAGTCCATTGGGCAATGGCACACTTTTCTTCATATTCTATTTCTAAGTATTCTATCTACTTAGAAATAGAAGAAGGGTGTGGTTTGTACAATGCTGAGGCCCTAACGAATACACATTTAAATGGTACCAAGATATGTTGTTTTTAGTATCAACAATTTTTGTGATGACCTGAAATTTATTTTCATCTCAAATTATAAAATTAAAAGAGATCGAGTAGATATATAAACATTTGAAAATCTAAACAATCAAATTAGGAAGTCCACCTCAAAAATTTCATTGGAAGAGGTTTTGTTTTAATGACCAAATGTCTACAAATTGATCATCTCAACATCAAGATGGATGGACGTGAGAAAAATAATAGATTTCAAGTTTGAAAATAATGCATCTTGTAAAGCAATTTTGGACCGTCAGTTTTCACGATTTTTAAATTTTCCATAGATCTGCTTGATCTATATTATTTTTTGATAATTTTAAAGTTCAAGTACGCTTTAAAGCATCATGGTGTTTGAAATACCGTGATGGCTAAAGGAGATATCACATTGTTTAAAAGTTGTGATGATCTCCAAGAACTCAATAATCATCCAATAATCATCACGGTGTTTGAAATTCCATCAGAGTTTTGGGTCCAACGTGAAGCCTTCATAGATCTAAGACTATCAAGAAGAGTATTTTTATAAAAAAAACTCTAACAGTAGATAAAACGGGTATAGATGAGGTTATGAAAATTTTGGGATTTATTTTTAATAATATTTTAAAAAAGGTATATTTTGGATAATTTTCCTATTTTCTTTTTTTTTCTCTTTCTTTTATTTTTTCTTTTATTTTTTCTTTTCTTCTTTTCTTCTTTCTTCTTCCTTCTTCCTTCTTTCTTCTTCCTTGTTTTCTCTCTTCTCTCTTCTCTCTTCTCTCTTCTTTCTTCCTTTTTTCCTTTTTTCCTTTTTTCCTTTTCTTTTTTTGTTTTTTTGTTTTTTGTCAATGTTAACTTAGGATGACTGAAATTTGAACTCATTGTAGCTCAACGTGCCCTAATCGTAGTCCCAGTAGCTCTCTTCCCGGTTAGTACTCTAAAAAACAGATTGGTTTGCTTAGTTTGAAATGAAACCAGTTAGGTAAAACACCCTAGACTCTCCTGTTCAACTAGAAAAGTATACAATGAAAAGCTGGTCACAATTAATCTTGCGTAGACAGCCCGTTCGAAATTTTGGCCAAGGGAATTTTTAAAAATCTGAATTCTAAGCTCAAAGGACCATAGAAACCTAGTGAACTATAGACAATTTAGACCTAGTAGAACCATCCCAAACTTGACCAAAACCTGTCCCAAGCCATAGTAGACCCCTATAGTAGCCCCCGAGAGTTTTCCAACGGTCCAAAAATCGTTTGAATTGGACCTACATAAGGATTTGGTTTGAAAATTACCAAAATGGCCCTATAAATGGATCCATCGCGACCCGCACGAGGTTCCACGCATTGCGAGGTTCGATGTGGCTCGATAGGCTCAAGCGCGGCCTGATGACACCGAAAATTGCATTTTAAAATCACATAAACCTAAAAAATAGTAAAAATCAATAAAAATATATAGATTAATCCTAATTAAGCTAGGAGATTAAATTGAATAATTTCAACCCTAACCCTAGCTCAAACTCATAAATGCTCCTGTCGAAGCATGATTGTTGCCGCCCCATCATATCCTTGTGGAGTCCAATGGCCCTTAGCATGCCAGCATGCTTAACCAAGGGAGGATATTCGTCGAACTCCAATAAAGGGGAGGAGGGATTCTTCATCTCCTCCCGAGCTCGTTCAAGCAATATCCTCGTCCCTCTAATGGTCCACGAGAGAGTGGAAACCCTGCTGTCAACCTCCGGAAACACCATTTGGGTGCGTGACGCTAGGGCAAAGCCAAGCCTTTCCAACGCCACCTCTACGAAGGAAATAATGGAAGGCTGATTGGAAAAGGATAAAAAGTAGTGGGCCTATCGAAGGGGTCATCTCTTTCGAGGACCATACCCGCAATGCAGAAATCTCCTGGCCCTACTAGACAGTCAGGTAAACTCTTCCCGCAGCAAGTTTGCATCAGGGACGCCAAGAGCAATAAGCTCTTCCATGGCCCTTCCTAAAGGGAAATAAAACATGCATAGCTCAGAAAGGGAGGCCCCACAAATTGATATATGGCCTTCAAAAGGTCCTCCTCGAATGCCAACTTCCGAATATCTAAGCTCAAAAAGGACAACCCCTGAATTTGAACAGAAAGGGGCACATCCCAGGGACTTCCTTGCCCCAGGTATGGAACAGGAAGAGTGGGCTCCTCCACATCATCGGCTATGGTTATTATTTCACTTGGATTTTGCTGACCCGCAAGCCTTCTTGTCTAGGACCTCGTAACATGACAACCCGGCATCAGAAAAAGCAAGGAGATGGTAAAACCGTTGGGTACAAGGTGGAAATTCACAAACAACCTCTCGGTACCACATGAGACGCCTTTATATAAGGACCTCAACACATGTCGTGAAGGCGTCAGTGCCATTATTTCACCTGGATTTTGTTGACCCGCAGGCCTTCTTGTTTGGGACCTCGTAACATGACAACCCGATATTAGAAAAAGCAAGGACATAGTAAAACAGTTGGGACAAGGTGGAAATTCACAAGCAACCTCTCGGGACCACATGAGACACCTTTAAATAAGGACCCCAACACATGTCGTGAGGGCGCTAGTGCCATTGCAGATGGTGCCAAAAGCTGACATAGGCCTTATCATAACAAGCCCCAAGGGTTCCTACAAGAGGCCACTCAATCTAATTAAGTCAGGATTGACTGAAAGTATGATTCCCTCAAGCCCAACGAAGGTCAAATAACCAAAATGCCCTTGACCACAGTGGGGCACTATTTCAAATGGCGCTAAAGGCATTCCCATTAGCGTCAAATCTAGTTCCGGTAGATGCCACCTAAAATGAAATGCAAAAATTAAACGGATCCTTGGGGAACCTATACGAATACTCCAAGGGATACTCCCATCGATTAATCAAAGCAAAAAAATGCAAACGCATATACACAATCAAGCATTCTAGAAATCAAATCAAGTGATGAATATTTTATTTAAATAAGAGAAACCCGTTAGGGAACCATTACAAGAACTGAAGCAAGAGAAGTAGTACAAACACGAAGACAATAAACTTTCAGAAGCCGTTCTTCGCTAGAACCTGTTGGCTCTTAACTAACTCCTCAAGTTAAGCTGATGGATGCTGCGTTTCAGCCAACTCTTCCAGATCCATGATATTCTTGGCAATGATAACAAGTTCATCCACCTCCATCACAAAAGAATCAACTCTAGGGGAACCCACCTCCTTCAGATCCGCTACCACTGTCTAGGAAAAAGGAATACCTCCTCGTAAGAAGCATGACTCAGGGCGCGGTAGAGACTCTTTAAGATAGAGGAATGGTTCCCCTCAGGAAAGTCAAAGCACGATGATGATCGAATCTCAATGGACTTACCGGGGTCTATCCCAGATTGAGATACAGAACCACGTCCAGGAACAGACAATTTTTGGTGGGGAATAGCATCAGCACAGTGGGACCCGTTGATAACACCACTAATCACTGATTCTTGGGATGAAACACGACAGTGAGAAGACACTCTAAAATCTAAGAAAAAAAAAAGCCACCAATGGGTTCCTTTGAGACCCCAAGGATCCCTTTTATAAGAAAGAAGGCCCCACAGTGGGGCGCCATTCGAACTTGCACCAACGCCATTTCGAATGATGCCAAACCCCATGCTTTGTCATTTCAACTCCAATCCCCAAGGGATCAGAAGCAGTCCCATCAAGCCGAAAATCGGGGTAGGCTTATAACCAGGGATATCAGGCCATCTTGGATGAGCTCATTTGAACTGGTGAGGTGTTCATAGATGACACACCATCTCCACCTGAAAAGGTGCTTCATAAGATCGAAGCTCTAAGGCATGAGAAGGTCGAACAGGTTTAGCTTCTGACTCAGGAAACCCTAGTAACTCCTGTTCTTCAAACCCTGTTGAAAGACCTAAACAAGGGAAGGAACATCATGGTCGTTGAAGGTCGAAAGCCCTCAAGAGAGAGACCATTCGGCAAGCCAATGTGGTACCTAAACCATGAGCTCAAAAGGTCGTACCTGTCAAGAAAAAGTCAAAGAACAAACGGCCTCCAAAAGCTCAACACCAAAAAGCGAAATTACCACAGTTGCCGATTGGAGCAACATTCCTCCCCTCTTCCTACTTTGTATGACTTCATCCCAAGGCAAGTTCTCTTTGCCAAGGGTGATCAATACATCACTATGAAAGCACTTCCATCTACGTCTAATACGGGTGAGGACATTAAAACACCCCACAATAGTCTAACAAAGGTGAAGACTTTAAAAACACCCCTCAACGGTCTACCTAGGATAAAGACCTTAAAGATCCCCCTACAATCGTCCAATTAGGGTAACGACATTAAAAGGTCCTCGATTACGTCCAATGAGAGTGAAAGCATCTTTGAGTCCAATTCAGGTGATGGCCACAAAAGCTATGCGATTTGGTCCAATTTAAGTGATGACTCTAAACGCTCTGTCCCTTCTGCTATCCCTGATTCTTCAAACCTTCTTCCCTCTCAAAATATCTCTCTAAACTCACCATGGAGTGTTTAGATTTTGAGGCTCTTAATAAAGAGCTCAAACTCTGCAATACAAGCAAAAGGCATAGCAAACAGATAAGAAATACGGCTGCTCAAAAGGCCGTTTTCTATAATGTTGGGGATGCTATGG